TCTTGAATATTATACAACAGAGATGTGGAAATGTTCTGAACGGCTCTTGAGCACTTGAAATGTGAGTGGTGAGACCAGGAACTGAAATTTTTTTTAATTTTACTTCATTTGTATGAACTTACATTAATATTTAACTAGCCACATGTGTGTTTTGACTACTGTGTTGGACAGTGAAGTTACCTAAGAATGACTTCATACACTTTTACTTGGGCTGGAAATAGTGAAAATATTTTTCAAACAGTGAGAAATCTCAATCTCAGTTGCCATAGGGTTCAAATTAGAGCGTACTTACCAGGATCACCAGAGTTTATTTATGAAAACAAATGTTTGGGCAGCTTAAATGAAGCCAAATAAAGAACTATTTCTGCCTTTGCCAAAGCAACCTATCTGTGATTAGCTTTAAAATATCCTCCTGAAGTAGTTAAGAAATACACATTTTATTTCCAACTCCGGCCAAAAGTAAGGCTTAATGATTTAATCAAATACACAATATTCATTGATAGAATAATGATTTTCCCCTGATATTTTAAGTTTACTGCTTTCGGCTTCACAGTGATGAATCAAGTCAGAGGGCTATGGTCAGAGATGATTATTTCTTAGAAGTGTTAATCTTTTAAAATGTTCTGATTTTTCCTGCATCTCAAATTCTCTCTTCTTTTGATCTCTTGAGTGTGCTCTGTCCTCACACTTTTCTTTTGCCTTTTGCCTATTTAAAATTATCAAATCATTCTTACTTAAAATTTTCAGAATTATGTCCTGAATTTCCCGAGATAACCACTAAAGAGGAGAGGTTTTGTTGTTGTTGTTTTCATTTGTTTTCTTTACTTTATCAGTAGCTTTGGATAGTTTGAATTTGTATTTACAGAACAAAAGCTGCCAGGGCTATCTCATTCTATTAAATGGGTCAGAGTAATAAATCAAGAATATTACATAATCTAAAACAACATTCTAAGGTAATCAAAAAAATTTTAATGTCAGAATGAAATGGTCTATTTCAGCCTTTATGCCATCTACCCACCTTTCTCTTCTCTCTCCTAAAAGACTTCTTGGGGCACCTGAGTAGCTCAGTCACTTAAACCTCTGACCCAATTTCAGGTCAGGTCATGGTTTCAGGGTCATGGGATTGAGCCCCACATGGAGCCCTGCGTGGGGCTCCACAATCAGCACAGAGACTTCTTGTCTCTCTCCCTCTATGCCTCGCCTTCTGCAAACATGCATGCAGTCTCTCGCTTTCAAATAAATAAAACTCTCAAATAAATAAATGTATCAGTAAATAAATAAAATCTTTTAAAAAATAAAATAGACTTCTCTATGGATTTTTAACATTAATAAATGAAAAGACATCAATAAATTATTTATAATAAATAATTAATTATAATAATTATTAAATAATTTAATAAAAATAATTATATAATTAATTATAATTATTATTTAAAATAATAAATAATTAATAAATTAAAAGACATTAATAATAAATGAAAAGACATTAATAAATGTCTTTTCAACCACTTAGTGGTATTACTTTTTTCCAGTATATGACGATATCATATGCTTCCAACACATAGCATGACCACTAACTCTTATTTCCAAAACAAGTAAAAACAGTCTCTAAATTAAGGATAATGGGCTATCCTCCCAGTTTCCATTGTATTTGCCATACTTTTTTAAAGGAGCTATGATAAAGCAAAAATTTAATAAAAATTCTTACAGCAAGGTTAAGAAAATTCTATCTGCTACCTTACTTTTTCTTTAAAAATGGTAAAAAAAAATTATTCAATTTTAATAACACCTTAATCCACCCTGAAAAACACTAGTGTTCCGCACGAGCGTCATTTGAAACTACTGGTTCAGACTATTCTAAGCTAAACTACATTTTCAACTTTCAATTAGACTCTGTATCTAGGTGGGCGTTTGGTCAGTTCCCAGCTGTTAGAGGCTTTTTTAAACAATAAAGCATAAATTGGAAAAACAAGATGGAGGGTGGAATCAAAACAATAAAACAAATCCTAGCCCAGATTCAAGTTAATTGAATGGTAAATATTCTTTTTTTAAAAATATTTTATTTATTTATTTGACAGAGAGAGAGAAGAGAGATCACAAGTAGGCAGAGAGGCAGGCAGGGGGTAGGGGGGAAGCAAGCTCCCCGCGGAGCAGAGAGCCCCATGCGGGCTGGATCCCAGGACCCCGAGATCATGACCTGAGCCGAAGGCAGAGGCTTAACCCACTGAGCCACCCGGGCGCCCCTGAATGGTAAATACTCTAATTCTCTTTTTCACTCATTAGCTCAGAAATGCCTGGTTTGGCTGACCAGATAAAATGCCAAAAATATAAACCCCCTTTTGGAAAAAGCCTGGCCAAGTGAGGGGGGAAAACCCAGTTTTCTTAGAATAAACAATTATTTTATCCATTTTTCTAAACCTACATTCAGAAATACAAATAAAATTAAGGGTAAAAATTTTAAATAGGAATTGTCTGCTGCTTCCCCTCCTACCAAAACAACTATTAACATAAAGTATGAAAGAGCAGTGCTTTGATGAATTATGCACCACTTTCCTCCTAACCTCACTATGCCCCCATCCACTGCCTACTTGCAGTTCCTCAAACAAATCGTGCCTTTTTCCTTGCCCCCCATCCCGGATGGCTCTTCTCCTCACTCTTTGTCAGGTTTACCTACCTGCCTCTAAGGTCTGCATTTAAATGCCATTTCTTCAGGGAGTCATCTTACATTTCTTTCTACCGTCCTATAGTTTTTCTTCATAGCACTTACAATTTCTAATTATACCCACACAAAGATATACCTAAAGTCTCTTACTTTCTAGACTGTAATCAAAAGCTCTCGGTTTTATCCAGCACCTAGAACAGTGCCTTGCACAGCTGGACCTAACACTCACCTTTTTTTAAATAGTTGAATTAATACATAAATATTTTGTAAATTTGACTTAAATTAACAGGCAAGTGACAACAATGAGGTTCCATAGGACTTTATCATTACGTGCCAAGCCCTCTACCTCCCTTCTCCCTATTGCAACTTAACACTCATTTGCATCCTTACTAGTCATGTGGTATTCTGCAGGGGCAAGAATCATTATTCAGTTGGATGATTAATCATGACCTCATAAGGATTCCAACTTCTACAAAATTGTCAACTGCCAATCATCTTTCCTACAGTAGCCTTCAGTGTCCCTCCCGGAGCACCCAGAGTGTTCTTTAAAACCATAGATCACATGTTCAAGTACATTGTCATCACCCTGTTATTTTCAGTATTTTTAAATTGTTTGAGGCTACTAGCATCATCTAGAAACTCATACAAAAATGATGAGCTCATGATTTTAGTCACGTGGTACTTGTACCATACTATCCTTCAGTATGTCCTTCTGTGCAGTGTGACTGACACATTGAGTTTCTCTTTCTGGCTACAGCAGATTTTATATGATAAAAAGAGATGAAAGATTCTAGGACAGGAAGGGGAAAAGAAAGGAAACTACCATTTATTGAGCACATATGAGCCCAATACTCTACAAATGTATATTCTTGTTCAGTCCTTACAACAACCCTGTGAGTAGGTATTATCCCCATTTCACACATGAGGAATCAGTTTTCTTACAATGTAGATTGTCTCTTGAATTTTTCTGTTGACATTAACTTCCATTTATTTACTTTTTTTATTTATTTACTTTTATCCTCCCTATTGTAGAGATTTTGGCAGCTGTGTACAAGAAAAATCCTCCTTTACTCAATAAACATTAATTTAACTAAATAAATTTCACAGTATGTCAATAAATGATTGAATCAGAAACTACTATCCTTCTGTCTCAGATTGCACCCTTTTATAACCCTTTCAAAGATCTTCTGGACTACTAAGCATTCTTTCTTGGCTTTCACATTTCCTACTTATTAAACACACACATAGTACATAGTACATTGAACAACACAGCGATTAAGTGTGCCGACCCCTGCACAGTCAGAAATCTGTGTATGACTTTTGACTCCCCCAAAACTTAACTAGTAATAGCCACTGTTGACCAGAAACCTTACCAAAAACAGTCAACACATATTTTGTATGTTCTATATATTACATACTGTATTCTTATAATAAAGTAAGCTAGAAAAAAATCATAAGGAAGAGAAATACATTTATAAGCCTGCACTGCATTTATCAAGAAAATAACTCCATGTATAAGTGGACCCACATAGTTCAAACCTATGTTGTTCAAGGGTCAACTGTGTATTCCTAACAGCCTAATGGACTCTCTTGGCTCAGTCTCCCTAGTTTTATGGGGACCAGGAAGCTAGTCTGATGAACAATAACTGGTGAATGTTGTTAATCATGAAAGGACCCCTCCAGCTTCTAGTTAAAAGTAGTACCAGCAGAGTTCACTTGTCTCGTAGATCAAAAGAATCCATCTCTCCCTTATCTATACCCACAAAGAAACTTGGAAGTTTTCCTTCGTGGTCCTCCTCCAGTCCTGCATGAATGGACCAAGGCTGAGGAACTTCATCTTCTTCCTCCACCCTCTGTTTGAAGGATGACCCTGGTCCATGTCTGTACTCTTGAACAAAGAGAACCTTTGATTTTCTTTCTCATCATCTTCTTTATTGGCTCTCTATTCCCTCAGTTGACTCCAACTTCTCTGGACCCTAAAATAATCTAGATAAAAGAATGCTTCAAGTGGACACCAGCCTGTGGTGGGATGACCAGCTTATTTGTGCAATGCCAGACAAAAATTGTAGATCTCTAAGACTTGCTTTGTAATGGGACCATCCACCTCATCTACCATGGGTCTCCAGGGTTGGGACAGCAGAAATGAAACTCTCTTTCTCAGTCTCCAGGGTAAATGGAGTGTAGAGCCTCAACTAGCATCATTTCAGGTATCTGGGGAAATGTTAGGGGAATATCCTATTTCTCCCTTTATGTCCCACTAGAAAGCTATTCTCCATTCTTGGATGAATCCATCCCAATAGCATGTGATCACCCATAAATGTTTCTTTCCCCAGGATCTTTAGAGGATGCTGTAGCTGTAGGAGAGGCTGTCCACGCTGATTCCCGCCACAGCTGCATACAGTTCAGGCACCACTAACTCAGGTACTTGCAACACAGCTTTGTCATCTGCAGTTCGAGTGGCGATTTCTACACGTGAGTGCAGCTCTCTCAGTGAAGGGCGGCTTTCCTCACTCCAGCGCCAGCAAGACTTCATAAGACCATACCTGAAAGGGAAATAGGAGAAACTGGCTTCCTTGACAAGGCAGATGTTTGAGGAACGTGTCTCTTCTCCTTACAAATCTTAACAACAGTAGCAACAAACTCTGCAGTTTTCATCTCCTCCTCATTGTCCTCTCCTGTTCTCCCTGGAGAATAATATTCCTTCTCCTCCTCTTAGTATTAAATCGCTTAATACCATCTTCTTATCAGGGTCCTTTTTATAAGAAGAACGACTGAAGTTTTCTCAAACTAGAATCAGTATGACAGAACAGTGTTGTTGTTGTTTTTTTCATTCTATTGCCCAAAACTCTGAGAACTGAAGTGTTCTCATCCTTTAGATGTTACTAACTTGTAGCATTCCAGACCATAGCTATAAGGTATCTCCCAGTAAAAGTTACCTCACAGCCAACAAAATAAGAAGCTATGGAATAATGTGATTCACCCGAATTTTGAATAATCTAATTAATTAGATGTTTCCTTTTATTAATCCACGTCGTTGACCTCCTTTATTACTTAGTCTCTCCAAGAAATTGCCTTTATCTAGATAAAGCACTTACCCACCTTTAAGCTGTCTTTTCTTCAATCCGAAGAATTTACAAAGAATTTTACAAAGAATTATTTTACAATTTTACAAAGAATTAATAATGTAGTCTTTTATCAAGCACTTCTTGTCATGTCTTATCCTTCTCAGGGACCCACAGTGGTGTCCCACTGTCTGCTATGTAAAACTGACATCCTACCTGCTAGCTTCTCTTCCTCAGAGACCTAACATTGCCTAAACTGAACGCCTCTCCTCCAGCCAAGTCAGTGTCTTGCTATACCTTAGATGTTAACACCCCATCTTTCTTCACCCTATCTAACTCTGTCTTTGCTCATGCTATGCCCAGTTCCTTGAGCATCCTGTTGATGGTCATCATTTCCTACAGGTTTGTTTTAGATCTCAATTCTTCTAGGCAACCTTCCATGATAAGCCTCAGCCCACACTGAGTCTCCCATACTCTTTATTGCTGTACAATGAGACTGTGTAAAAGATGCTAATTTAATAACACTTAGAAACATTTAGCAAGAACTTACTTATTTTATTTATAAGGCATGGTAGTGGAACTTGACATGCATTATTTTATTTTAGCCTCACAACAACTCTGAGGTAGGATTATCATTATACCTATTTTAAGATAAGTAAACAATGTTCCGTAAAGTAGCAGGACTAGGAGTGAACACGGTCTTTTTGACCCTATGACGTGAGTCTGAGCTCTTAATCCTTCTTTTATGTTGCCTCCCACTTTATCTTGATTTTCAGGTTTTTTTAGACATCCACATATTAAATTCTTCAACATCAGATATTTTATTGGTTGTCCCTTCCCCCAATTACTTTATTGGTTGTCCCTCCTCCCAATATAAAGGACAGATTTTTACACATAGAAAAAAACCTATAAGAAATATTTTTCAATAATCATTCCAGTATACCCATATAGTATGATTATACTGTATCCATGCTTGTGTGTGTGTGTGTGCGTGTGTGTGTGTGTGTGTGTATACAGTTTTGATGTTTAACATTTATAATCTGCTCGATACAGTAACTATTTATTGATCCGGAACTCTGGTGATGGAAATTTACCCTTTCAATGCTGAAGAATTTTTAAAATAGCAATAATTTTATCAGAAACTTATATTAATATATCCTCCCCTGACTTCTTACAAATATTTTAACCTTTTCTTATATTCTATAACAATCCCTTTTTGTAAATTATAGGTTATAAAATTCTGTGTATACTTTTTAATTTTTCCATTTTCTGCCTCTGCACTGGCTCATCAGCTGTTCCCCTTCTGCTGACATTATTAGATACTCCTTCTCCCATCTTTCTAATTTCTTCCTACCCACCTTCTTCTTGTTGGCTTCTAATTTGCTCAGAACTGGAAAAATAGTCAATATTTTTTTAAAAGTTAAATACTAAATAAGAGCCAGTGAATAACTGTAGAGCAATGGATTATATGGCAGCTATATCAGAACTGAGGCTGGCAGTCTCTGATTGACACTGACATTTAGACAAGCAAAACACTACTATATTTACATTGGATCTGGTCCACTTCTTACCTATTTTAGAAGCTTCTGGAAGAACTAAACTTTATCAACTTAGATTCCTAATATAGTCTTCAGCCGTTGCCTCAACACTGTGTGTGTATATGTTTATACACACACATATACATATATATGTATATGATATATGAGCAGATGTATGTTACTGCATAGGTTTGTATGTATATTATATGTAGTATATTAGGCTGTATATTAACACATAAAGGGCAGCTAGGGATTATCTGAGCCACTTTAAAAGGGCGCAGTTGATGAGGATCAAAAATGAGTTGTAATGAGAGAAGAGTAGACCCTAAAAGCCACTTACATGGTATGTGTGCAACTACTGGGTCTCTTCATGATTTTCCTTCTTTGGAGATATTGTAAGATGCTCGTAGGAGGGACTTCAGGATATGGTGGTGCCCCTGTTGGTATGGAAAAAATGAGAGTAGCAAGGGAACTTTAGGTCCTCTAGAATATGAACTATAACATGACTCTTTATCCACCTGGGCTAACTGCCTGCAAATGATAGGGCCAAAGGAAAAATGTTAGATATAATATAGTTGCTCCCCAGTGATCCAGTAAGAATGTAGCAGAGAGAGTTTGGGCGTTAAAAAAAAAAAGTGTTTAGGAGGGAAAAAATACTGGTAATTTAGGGAAATGTTGAGTCTTTATAAAAGTAACAGAGAAAAGTGAGAGATGAGACCTGCCCTCCACTCCCCAAATGTGGGAAAGTACTGCGTTTTCTCTATCAAATGGGTTAATAAATTTAAGGACAACATATTTATGTTCATGCAAAGTCATTGTTGGAATTATTCTTTGGATTTTCAAACCTCTTTTGGAATTGGTAAAGTGTTGAGGGAAAGAAAGAAAAAGAAAGCAAATAAAGTTAAAAGGAGTAAAGGGATTTCATGTCAGCCCAGTTCAAACCTCATACTGAAACCTCTTCCCATAGCATATGTCATCCCCCACCCCAATAAACATACTTTATATTTGCATACAGGCAGTACTTTAGGGACCCTCCTTACCTAGAGTCACCATCTCATAAAGCAGGATCCCAAAGGACCAGCTGTGAAAGAAACAAAGCCATTTACTTAATTTCTATTTCTTCCTTTCCTAAAGAGAGTACTTAAACTATCAGGGGCCTTCGTAAGAACCATATAAAGGCAACACAGGGGAATTGAAGGTGTCTTATAACATAAAGTAATTAGAAAGCATTAAAAAGTATTTCTGTTCAATCCCCATCAAGTCTAATCTCTTTGCAGAGTGGTTGTATGTCTCCTTTCTTCTATATTTCACATTAATGGATGTTTATTATCAATTGCTAAACTGTGGGGGTGTGTGTTTATGCAAACACACAAACACATCTACCCAAACATAAAGAAACTACTTTCTGCATCTTTTTCATCCTTTCCATTCCTTCTTGCTGAAATTCTAGCCTTTATTCTTAGCACAAGTCCCAGTGAGGTTTATCAATTATCTACTATTTCCTCCATACATCTAACTGCCCAAACCTAGGAAAAATATTAACAGAACAAGCTTACACATAACAGAAATAGATATTTGTCAGAGCAATATGACTTAAGACATGTTAATTTCACTATTCTATAATATCACCATTAAACAAGCAATATTTCCCAGGTAAGCTTGTTATTCCCAGACCTCTACTGAAAAGCAGATGGCAGTGAAGCAGCAATGGGAATCCCTTAATTGACTCACCATATTAACTGACGTTCTAAATGTCCTCTGCTGCTCATGACATTCATGCTAGTAAGATATTATACGTTTTTTTAAAAGATTTTATTTATTTATTTGACAGAGAGATCACAAGTAGGCAGAGAGTCACGCAGAGAGAGAGGGGGAAGCAGGCTCTCTGCTCAGCAGGGATGCTGAGGCAGATGTGGGCTCTATCCTAGGACCCTGATATCATGACCTGAGCTGAAGGCAGCAGCTTAATCCACTGAGCCACCCAGGTGCCCCTTATATGTTACATCTATGTGCTTCTCCAAGCTGCTGAATTATATGGTTACCTAAAGTCAATTGTTATTCTTTACAGTACTATACCATCAGATAAATCAATGTAATTATGTAACCAGTTAAATATAAATGCAAAGAAGTATTAGCTCCTGAAAACTAGGCTGAATGCTTTGAAAGTATACTATAAAAATACACTGCCAAAAAGAAAGGGTTGCCAAATTGCGTGGGTGAGCCGACAGTAGAAAATTGGAAAAAAATAATCATCATCAGCGGTCAAATTGCTTTACCATTTTTTTCAGATTTTTCACTCAGAATCATCCCAAGCTGAGCCTCAAAATTAATGTGTTATGGATGCTATTTATACACAAAATACAATGTATAACTTCATTTAGCAGGTCAATCCTCTAAAAAAGGTTTTGGCCTTCCCTCAAAAGATCAATCAATAAATATGTATTTTCTTTTCATTTTAATAATTCCTGGTTTAACAGAACTTTTGATTAAGTGGACCCACCTCCTTCAGAGAAGAGGGACTCTACTAGATTAAGTCCTTGGATATTGGTATGAAGAACCTGTTCACGTTTCTTTTCTCTTTCCTAATTAAAACTGCTAATCTAATACAGAAGGAATACTTTAAAAGGTACTAGAAAGGATTGCAGTCAGATGCCAAGTATGAGCTCTGTCACAAAACACACATTTCTCCTGGAGAGTCTGTCTGACTTCTTAGTAGAGATTTCACAGGTAGACATAATTGACAACAGATGCACTCATGGTCAGGATCTGGAGGACACCTAGGTCAAGAAGGGAAGAAGTCCAAAGGGCAGGAACAAACCGTACACATCTCCTCTGATGCCAGCTGGTCTCAGCAGAAGTCGCTCTGGGGCAAGCCACTTGAGAGGTACAGAGTGAGTAGCTGGGATGGCCCCTCGGGCATGGACTTCATAAGCCAGGCCCAGTCCACAGAGCTTGGCAGTAAGATCACTTTGGATCAGGATATTCCTAGCTGCTACATCCCCATGGAACAGATGCTTATCCTGGAGAAATTCCTGTCAGTATAAGATCAAAGATGGATCAGCTGTCTGAGGTCATGGCTCCAGTCAAAGACAAGGAGAAGCAGTCCTAGGAATCCTCAAAAAGAGAAGGACATTTTCAACTTTGAACAAGTCTCGTTGATAATGACAGATCACTTCCAAATTAACATAATGGATCAGACATTTTTGCATTATGGTTAGGATTACCAAACTGAGCAAATAATCTAAATAGCACTAATAATAATCCAAATAGCATTAATAACATAATTAATAGCATTAATGAACTGAGCAAATAATCCAAATAGCATTAACCCAGTATTGGGTTAATAAAGTGATCATACGGTCCAAACCCAGTATTGGGTTTATTAACCCAATACTGGGTTTGGACCGTATGATCACTCATTCTGTGTCAAGGTCTGACCCCTGCCTGAGTTTACATTTCTCCTGGACGGGTTCCAGCTAGATCCTGGAAAAGGAAACAGGTTTCAAGTATCTAGCAGCAGTCCCCCAAATAAGGTGATACATACAAAGTGAAATTGAGTGTCATAATATTGAATTTATACAGAGCTTTATATCTATCATCTCCTTCTGCCCCTAAAATAAGTAGGTTGGATGAGTTAGGGAAGTATCTTTCAGATAAATCTAAATGATTACACAAGGTCACACAGTTTCAAGTGGTAGTGACCAGAAGTGGGTATTCTAATTCATAGGAAGTACTACAAATTCTGCTAATAATTCTCTAGCCAGTCTACAAATCAGAATTGCCTGAGAGCTTTTTTAAAACATATGATTTTTGGCCCAGGTTTACCTAACCAAAATCTAGGAAGAAGTACCTGGTAATCTCTATTTTTAAGAAGTTTCACAATGATTCTAGCACAGCCAAAGCATTTGAAAGCCATTGCGCCTGGATGGCACGGATTTGCTGCAATCATTTCCCCAAACAGGAGGCTATTCAAGGCATAAGAACCTGAGAAGCTATACATGACCAAAGAGCTAGAGATTGAGGTCTATGATTGCTAAACAAGAATAACATACATACATACATACATACAAACATACAAACATACATAAAAGGTTAAGATGGTCATTTCCAGTCTCTGATGTTAAAGAAAACAGTACCTAGCAGCTTTCTGTCCCTGGTGAGGTGAGGTTTTAGGACAAAGAGATTATACAGTCATGAGAAGAATTAAAGAATGTAGTGACTTTGACGTTGTCAAAGTAAGAAAAAAAATAGTATGACAATGCCTTGTAACTGGTAACCCAGACCCATGACCAGTGCATCCCTTTGGGGAACCACTGCAATTGTGTTTCAGAATATGAGATAGGCTATATCCTGACACCCTAACTTTATCAGGGGAGCATACCAACTAGGCCCTCCAAATACTGTGGATAATATTCATTTCTACGATGTGCTCTCTCCTATGCCATGGGAACTTCCGCTGTTAACTACTCCTCCTTCTCACCTCACGGCTTCTTTTCTAAGCTTTCCCAGATTCCATTTAGATCCCTGATACATTTCACACCTCAAGGAGGCGAGATATAACAACTACCTAAAATAGTAGTTTCACAGAGCCTGATTTTCTATATAGTAAATGCTAATTTTAAGCACAGTTATCTAAATAACTTCATAGAAATAGTCATCTAAATTTCCTAATTCTGGTAAATGTACATTATTTTTTCTCTTAAACCCTTTAAACCCTATTTTTCTCTTACCTCTTTATTTAATTAAGTTGGTTTAGAATGAAGGCTTGATCCCTTTTTATATCTTCTTTTCCATTTGTTTGTTGTTCTTTTTAAAGTATATTTATTTCCTATCACATTCAGCATCAAAGCACGTCTCCAGCCAAACATGTTCTGAACTCGTCTTTCTTGTTTTTCAGGCATAAAACTGTGCGCTTCTTTTAGCTCTGTAGCGTTTCACCCATTTGGTTTCTCTTCCCAACTCATTCACTATTTGCCATTTTACATATCTTTTTTTTTTCATTTTACATATCTTAATTTTAGTATATATGGGGAAGTAAGAGTGTCAAGCATATAGTTCTTGGCCCTGGTTGTTGACCACCTTTTAAAATCCTTCCTGTTCCTTCTACAAACCCTACGACTTTCTGCCTAGAATTACCAATCTTGTGGTATATTATCTAAATAATTTCATAAAGAAAGAACTGAAAACAATTTATCAGTGCTTGAGTTTCTGCCCCTTAACTTCCATCCAGTTTTCTTAATGATCTACACCATTTGGAAATATAAATATGAGAAATATGATGTCAAATATCAGGCTAACAAGAAAAATCCATACCAACTGTTGTCATTTTGCCCAGCCTTACCAAAGCCAGGAGGACCTGCCTCCCAATGTGATAGACTTGTTTTTCTGTGAGATCATAGAGAAGGCCATCCATGGTCATTACATCCTAAAGAGACAAAGAAAAAACATATCAAAATGACATGAACAGATTTTAAAAAATAAAATAAGGGCAAAGATATTCTTAAATTCAGATGTCAAGGCTAAGGAAAAGATACAAAAATATAGAGATGGAGATTCAAGGAGAGGTTAATATGAGAGATGCTCAGATATGCAAAGAAGTACAATGATACACCGACCTAGAAAAACAATAGTGTAGATCAATAACAGAACGAAGGAATAACAGAACAGCAGTTAAGAATTGGAAGGGGAGATGAACCATGAGAGACTATGGACTCTGAAAAACAATCTGAGGTGTTTGAAGGGGCGGGGGCTGGGAGGTTGCGGGAACCAGGTGGTGGGTATTGGAGAGGGCACGGATTGCATGGAGCACTGGTTGTGGTGCAAAATCAATGAATACTGTTATGCTGAAAATAAATAAATAAATTTAAAAATAAATAAATAAATATTGTGTCCAGAGGAAAAAAAAAATCTGATATGCATAAGACTATCCCCTGGATAAAGCAACAGTTTTCCTGAGGCCTGTGTATGTGTGTGATTAATTAAGCACATTCACTCAGCACATTACTGAAGGCCTACTATGTGCCAGGTTCCATCTTGGGAACTCAGAACACAAGAGTGAGTAAATTAACACGTCTGCTGCCTTCTGGAACTCGAAGTATATAACCATATATAAACATATGGTTACATATCTATAAGCTCCATGAAGGACATGGAAAAGAGAGCAGATGATGGTGACAAAATTTAAAGATCTGAAGGATGAGCAGACAATGACTATGCAAAAAAGTAAAAAAAGGAAAGGGGAGACATTTGGTGTAATGCGAGAAGCATGTGTAGATGGTCTAAAATAGAGAAGCATAATCGTTTTGAAAAACAGAATAGCAAAGTTAGAGCAGAGAACAAGTTACAGACGAATAACCTCTTACAAAGGTTTTAATACCTCAAGACTTGCACATTGTCCTATCTGCACCAACAGATGTAAGGCATTAACAGGGTCCCTTTATCATACACATTTAGTAGTAAAGTAATCAGTCTTTGGAGGAGGCTTGGTTAATATTAAACTTGTAAGTGAGGAACTAACTAGGGAAACATGCAGTACTTCAGATAGAGGAATATGTAGAGAAGCAGGAAAACTGCAAGGAAAAGGACTTGCACTTTACTCTGGAAATTTCTGAACATTTAAATTTGTTTAAATATGAATTTGAAGTACGGTAACTTTCAAGCTGGATTTCTCCTTATCAACCCTGGCATATTGGAGTGATGGTATAGAACAGAAGACACATTTAAGACTAACAGCAGTAAAATTACAATCCATACTAACAGTAGTTTTTACATACATAATTTCTGTTAACTTTAATAATAACTTATTATTATTCCCATTTTACAGGTGCAGAAAATTCAGGCTCAGAGGGGTGACTTGCCCAAAGTCACATAGCTTTCTATGTCATATAGTCATATAGTATGTCATATAGTCATATAGTCATATAGTATGACTATATGACACATAGTCATATAGTAGGCTATAAAGTGCAAAGTTCATACCCCAAATCTGCACTATCCCATATGATAGCCATTAGCCACATGTGGCTATTTAAGTGTTTATCATTTAAAATTAAATAAAATTCAGGGGCGCCTGGGTGGCTCAGTGGGTTAAAGCCTCTGCCTTCAGCTCAGGTCATGATCCCAGGGTCCTGGGATCGAGCCCCGCATCGGGCTCTCTGCTCAGCGGGGAGCCTGCTTCCTTCTCTCTCTCTGCCTGCCTCTCTGCCTACTTGTGATCTGTCTGTCAAATAAATAAATAAAATCTTTAAAAAAAAAATAAAAAAAAAATAAAATTAAATAAAATTTTAAAAATTCAGTCTCTCAGTCACATCAGCCACATATCAGGGGCTTCAAATGTGATTAATGGTTACCATTTTGAACAGAGAAGATAAGAAAATTTTTCTGTCATCGTAAAAAGTTCTATTGGATGGTAATACTCAATCACTATTATGTTGCTATAAGATCTTTCTGCTTTGTCATTGGCCAGGCTACTTGACATGTGAACAGCTCATCAGCCAGGTCAAGCCTTTCCTTCCCAACACCTCTACCCTGCTGCTCACCCGCCGACAGGTCCAGAGAAAGCTAAGCAGGTCCCCTTGGGCCACATCCTCCAGCACCATATAGAGCGGCAGCTTCTCCGTGCAGCAGCCTTCCAGCTGCACCAGGTTCCTGTGCTTCCCCAGGTACTGATAGAATTGGACTCGCCCTAAGAAATCCTGTACTTCCTGGAGCCCAGTCGGTTCTGTGGAGAACAGATGAGCCATGGGAAGTGGTCAGAACATGATCAATACAATGGGAGGTATGAGGGAAGACGATGGTAATTTTCAAGACTCCATAGGAGAAGAAATACTGACAAAAGGTAAAGAGAAAGGGGAACTAATTAGAAGATAATTCTCAATGTCACTGATTTTTTTGTCAAAGCAAACAATCATAGGCTTTAGAACTGGATAGACTTTCATCTGCCTAAATAGACAAGTGTTCACATTCTAATATTATCACTGCCTAGGCCTTTCGATTAGTATTCTTGCTTATCCTATTCTTGTTCTGTTTTATGTATCCAATACTACTGGTCCATATAAAGAGAGAGAAAGGAAGGGGGGAAGGAAGGAAGGAAGGAAACAATATTAGGGAAAGTGATAGTGCAGACAAATGAAGGAACCACCTCAAAATCCTCAAGCACTAAGATTCAGTATGAAAAAATCAGTTCCAGCAGCCTCAATAGGCAACACTGAGCTAGGGAAAGACCCCAAGAAAAATATTTTTGCCTCCAGTTTTCACTTTCTATCCTTTTCTTCCTCTGCACACATCTGTGATCATAGCTATCCGTTGATTAACATCTTTTTTTTTTAATTTTTTTAATTTTTTAATTTTTTTTTATTTTCAGCATAACAGTATTCCTTGTTTTTGCACTGCACCCAGTGCTCCATGCAGTCCGTGCACTCTCTAATACCCACCACCTGGTTCCCCCAACCTCCCACCCCCCACCCCTTCAAAACCCTCAGATTGTTTTTCAGAGTCCATAGTCTCTCATGGTTCACCACCCCTTCCAATTTCCCCCAACTCCCTTCTCCTCTCTAACTCCCCTTGTCCTCCATGCTATTTGTTATGCTCCACAAATAAGTGAAACCATATGATAATTGACTCTCTCTGCTTGACTTATTTCACTCAGCATAATCATCTTAATGTCCATAAGCTCGTCAGCATTCAGGGCTGGGGGCTCACTGTGGGAAAGTAAAAAAGAGATAGGGAAGTCAAACACTTCTCCTTTTACCTTCCAAAGCCTTGAGGACAACACTCTTTGGCTTAGCAGGGTCCCCCGTGTACATCTTGGTTCGGTAGATGGTTCCACAACTACCATTGTGGATCTGCTCCAGAACTTCAGAGAGTTGCTCCCGGGGCACCTGCAGCTTAGCCAGAGCATGAGTGGTAGTCCGTAGGAGGCTTTCCACCGAGGTCTCCTTAAGTGGCACGAGCACACTTCCTCCATGCCCTGCCGCCTCCCAGCTTAGGCCCCTAGTTGGAGGCACAGGGCCAACGCCTAGAACAAAGAGATGATACTAGTCATCTTTACCCTACCCTAGGGGCTCCAGGAGAGCAGAGCCTGGAACACACAGACAGACGACAATGAAGTTCCTTTAGCAATTTTCTCTCTACACGATGTGGTGGTACCTTGTGTGAACCAGCATCAACGCGAACCTTGGAAAACATTTATAATAACCCTACTACTTCTAAGACAACTCAAGATGGCCCTCTGAAAAGTGGTTATGTCATTTTCTTTCTACCTTTCTCAGGATTACAGCTCGGCATTAGTATAGAAACAATTAAGGACATTCCTGAATAGGTACTCAAACCACTGATATCTATAAAGTGGTGGTAACTACCACTAGGGACTAATGCTTATGTCAATCAACTCGAAGACATGGTTATTCTTCCTCCCTTATGATGTCCCCAAAGTCAAATTATTGCGTATTTCCTAGAGTCTTAGCCAAAAAAATAAAAAATCTTCTGGCACTTTTCCCTTTTCTTAGTCAATTTTTCTCCATTGGAAAGAGAAATTCTTCTCATTAAACCACCATTCAATCATTAATCTATCCATTTATGTGACAGGTATCACATCCTGCATGCCAGGAACTATTCTAGGTGTTGGGAATAGGCAAAGTCCAGATTCTTATGATTACTTTCTTGTGGTAGGCTAGAGGAAGTAGATAATATCATACCAGGGGATGAGTGCTATAAAGGAAAACAGCAGAATCAGAGGCTATCTGTGATGCTATTTTATATTTCAAGGCCAGGACAGGCCTTTCTGATAGGATGACATTTGAGAAGTGCCTGGAAGCAATTAGAGACCAAACCATACTGGTATCAGGAAGGATATTACAGACGGAGGGAACAGGAAGAGCAGATGTATTGAGGAAGAAACATGCTTGGCATATCTGAGGAAGAGGAATGAAATTAGTACAGCTGGAGCCATGTGGGATAATTGGAGAATTACATGAGATGAGGCCAGAGTGGGCCCAGATTCTAGAAGGCCATTGAAAGAATTTTGTCTTTTTTTATTCTAAAAAATATTACATTTTATTCCAAGCAGAGAATGGCCAGGACTGATTTAGGCCTTAAAAGAATCATTCTACTGCTCTATGGAGAACAGTGGATAAAGGGATAGGGAGAGAATGAGGGAAACCAGTTAGAAGTGTATTGCAATGATCTATGAGACATGAGAGAGGCTTGCATTTCTTTTGAAGATAAGAGTTAACAGGATTTGCTAATGGATTGGATACAAAGTATGAGAGAAAAAGAAGTCAAGGACATCTGTAAGATTTTAGACTGAACACATCAAAAATCAGAGGACATTTCTGAGGGAATTTCAGGACCTTTGCTGTGGGCATATTACATACAAGATGTGTATTGGATCCAAACTGTGAAATTGAACACAGGAATCTGAAGTTCAGGGCGACTACAATTAGAAGAGAGAAAGTGTTTGAATCCATAAGACTGAAAATGAGACCATTAAGGGAGTGACTATAGATTTAAAAAGAAAAGAGTGTTTCAAGAAGGAGAAGATGCAAATTTGTTCCAAATGCTTTTGACAGGTTGAGAAGAGGACTCAGTTATAGCTGTCATTGGCAAACTCAGAAAGAACTGTTTTGGTGGAGTGGTGGGGATAAAAGCCTTATTTTAGTATGTTCAAAAGAGAATGTGACAAGTAGAAGTCATGGGAGTGAAGTTAGACCACTTCTCTGAGAAGTTTTTCTGTAAATGAATTAGAAGAGAATTGGGTTAATTTCTTAAATTTTTATTTAAATTCAATTTACTTCACATGTAGTGCATTATTAGTTTCAAGGGTAGAATCTGGTGATTCATCAGTTGCTTATAATACCCAATGTTCATGACATCAAGTGCCCTCCTTAATGCCCATCACCCAATTCCCATTTAGAGAGGGAATGGGGATCAGCCACCAAACAGTTTCTGATCCCTGTCAGGACTTTTTTTTCTTCGTTTTACTCCTAGTTTCATGTAAACTAATTCACTTTCATTATACGCCCAGTGGTACTTCAGAACAGGACATTGTCTCCTACTTAATGCTCCAAAGACTGCTATAAAGGCCACCCCTTCTCATCGTACAGTCCAGAACACAGAGCAAAGCTGGGATGTATTACAGAGTAAAATATCATCCTTCAAGGCTGGTAAAAAAAAAAAAAAAAGCCTAGGGCTTTACCTACTAAACTTCCTCCCCAGTATGTAGACACTTACATGGCCAAATATTTGATAGTTCAATAGGACAAAAAAGATAGAAACAAGTCACATGAAGTCTCTTCTGCCCACTGTTGTTTCAACTAACAAGGATTACAGAGTTTGTACTCATGAATTCCTAGAGAAGAGCTCACCTTTCCTCAACTCCACAAGACAGGACCCATACTTCCTCTCCCGTAGCAAGGACCTCACCTTCTAGACTTGGGCTTACTGAGACTTGGGTCTTCCTTTTTGTCATCTCCATCTTCCCTGGCCCTCCTCCCAGCCCCAGTTTGAGTTATACCTCGGAGTCCAGGAGACTGTTGTTGAGCTCTTTGACCTCTGATAAAAAGCCACAGGATGACGGCAAGAAGGATAAGGAAGATGCCAACCAGGATGGTTGGGATGATGATAATCTCGTACTGCTGCTCCCGGACAACTGGGTAGGAAATCAAGCAGGAAGAGGAGAGATTGCAGAAGTACCCCAATCTCACATCCACACAACCTCCCCTACCCACCAGTCCTCAGCTCCTCATACATGAAATGATCATCCCTTCCTTCTTCCCCTCCACTTCCATACAATGGAACCATTATTGGGAGCAGCTCTCTAATCAGAAACCCCAGGTCCCCACATCTCAGTCTATCAAGTGCGCTCTGTTTCTTATCTCTCATTTTTCCTGCTGAGGAGATGTAGGATGAAGGATGTAGCCTCTGGATCTCTGACTGGCAGTTGTCCCTCTTCAAAGACAATGACCTCTAGTGCCCATTCCTTTATGGACACTGTCTTCATTTCTACTAGTAGTCAACTCATCCTCCTTCTGGAATCTATGCAGACCTTAGTCTGTCATCCTGGAATCAGAAGATAGGCATCTCTGGTGTCTGCCCTTACCACACAGCTTGTCACTGAGACTGCATTCCAGTAGTATTCGTGCCATGCCCCTCTCATCTCCCAGGCCACACAGCTGTCCACTCCTTTGCTTGGCCCTCAGAGAATGCACAGAGCACCACTGAGAATAATTCCCAAGAATGGAGTTATTCTGAAAAACATAAAACGGAGCATGCAGATAATTTTAAGACCCCTCAAAAGGTCATTAGGGGAGCTACTGGGTGGCTCAGTTGTTAAGCTTCTGCCTTCAGGTCAGGTCATGATCCCAGAATCGTGGGATCAAGCCCCGCATTGGGCTCCCTGCTCTGCCGGGAGGCTGCTTCACCCTCTCCCACTCCCCCTGCTTGTGTTCCCCCTCTCTCTGTGTCTCTATCAAATAAATGAATAAAATCTTTAAAAAAATTAAATTTAAAAAATCATTAGGTATTAAGTACATGGCTACCTGGAACTTTTTGAGTCATCCATTCATCTCTGTCCATCTACCTGATATTGAAGTGTGAAGAACTTTGTTTTTTCCTAGCATTTTTGTCTTTCTTACTATACAGCAAATATAGTTTCTCAATTTATTTTAAAGTTTCCCCTCCTACCCAAGACCCCTGCTCCAATGCTCAAATTCACCGTTCCCAGCACCTGTGTGAGCATTTGTGGTCGGCAGGATTGATCTACATCCCCTATACTCCTAAGCAGGTTTAATTTTTTTTTTTTTGGTGTATCCCTTATTTTTTAATTGGATCTTCCTCTGGTCATTATATTTAGACAGACACAGGCATTCATTCCTACTAGTATGTAGATTAAAGGGAATTCCAGAACCAAGCCATCTTCTGTGTTTCTCTCTTAAAAAAAAAAAAAAAAAATAAAATAAAATTAAATATAAATAAAAATATTTATATATATAAGTTTCAAAACAAAAAAAAAAAAAAAAAAACTAAAGTGATATACCATAAAAATCTTTCTCCCACCCCATCCTTCTCCTTTTATTCAGTTCCCAACTGTCCTCCAAGGAAACTAGCTTCTTGCTTACTGGGCCACAGATTCTTTAGATGCATCACTTTTAACTGTATGGTCAGCATATATATGAAATTACAGCTCCCAAAACCCGGTTTGCTCTTTCTGAAGAGAACTGGTGTCTATACATACATACGTATACACACACATACACACATATATGTAAGCTTGTAGATAGATATATTATAGATGTCTACAAACTTTATTTTGCTTTTGGTTAACAAAAGTCTTCCCTGGTTCTAATTAATTCTGACTAATCTGAAAAAAAAAAAGTGATTTTTTTTAAACTGTCCAGGTCATCCTAAGTATGTGATCTAGTTTTATAGTGATTTGCTAAAAAGAAAAATTTTACAAATCAGAATAGCAGAACACTATATTTACATATGTGCTCTATACCATATATGTGGTTTTCTATTACATGTTGTGCTTTATTGTTGATACTAGGAACCACAATACGACTTATTGAGGCAGAGTCTCTTAGAGCCTGAAACACATACATAAAGTCTTCCAGTTTCAGCCTCACCCCCATTCTCACAATTCTTGGAGCTCCATGAGCTTGTACTGTGAGATGAGAAGTAGACAATTTTCTTATTACTCAGAAGAAAGACAGGTGTGTGGCTGGTTGACAGAAGCCCATATATACAGAGGAGTAGGCAAGAGGAAGACCTGGGAGAGGAGAGGCACCTTGTGGACTTTTGCAGAACAAGAGATCTACAAAGTCAGTGAATTAGAAGATAACAATGTCCATCTTCTTCTAGTTTATAACCCAAGAAGGCAAGGTGAAAGGCATTTGGGAAAGTTTCCACATCCCACAGACCATAGCACTGGTGCTACGGCAGGAATCAGGGAGCTTTGAGATGGTAGAGAAGGAGAGGATCTTAAATGATAAGACATTAGCACAGTCAGGAGAATTCCAAAGCTGCTTGGAAATTTCTCATTCTTGTTCTCCTTTGCTCTTACTTCCCTTTAGTGCACTATCAGATGTAACTGTGTTCATTTAGGGAGCAGCCAGTTTAACAAGTTTGGTTCACCCAGGAGTGTCCGTGACCATAATCTCTCTTAACCACAGTACAAGTAGAAAAAAAAGTCGGTCAGCAGCCAGCTCCAACGTGCAAGCTCCGCCCAGAAACCAAACTACACACCCACTACTACCTACTGCAGGAAGAAATGTAAAGGCCAGTGTGCACACGGATCCTGCTAGAACTGCTCATGGCAGGCCAAACACAACAACAGGCATGCGGCCAAACATACCCACCCACACCCAGTGACTCAAATAAATCCATGCTTATTCCCTTGCACCTGCATGTCACACTTATTACAGAGCACAGGGTGGTCATCTGGATACACTATGACCTCCTGTTACATTTCCCGAACAAGGTTCATTTGTGTAGTTTTATTTGGGCATGGATACTTTGAAGAAGCTGGGTGTAGTTAACAACTAGAAGCCCAATGTAATTGGATGCTGGAGCAGGGAAACAAACGTGGGGTGGGGCGCTATGGTGAGGGCCACTCGCAGACTGTTTTCCAGGCATTGTACAATAAGCTCTTTCCAACTGTTACAGTTTGGCTATGGACATATGGAATATACAAAATGAGTCTAGAATTTTTAAGGTAAACACACCAGGCATTCCTGCCCCCAGGGGCATGGAAGCCTACACAGGAAGCCTTACCACCTTTAGAGCCCACCAGAGCACTTCTATTAGAAGATGCTCATATTCACTTGTAGCAACAATATTCCTCTCCATCACTTTCCTCTCTGCAGCAAAATATTCAGTTACCACACCACTTTGCCTGCCCCCTGTGTCAACCTGAGAAAAGACATGCCTTCATGCCAGAACCTTCTAGGATGACTCTTCCTCTTCATTAGATTCTAACCTATCGGTGTTCTTGACCAACATTTATGTGCATATAGCTAATACTCTATCCCCTTTGATTACATCTAGACAGTTTTCTCCTTGTGTTAAGACAAAAATATAGGGGCACCCTGCTGTCTCAGTCCACAGAGCATAAGACTCTTGATCTCAAGGTTGTAAGTTGGAGTCTCATGTTGGGTGTAGAAATTACTTAAAAATAAAATCTTTGAGGGGCGCCTGGGTGGCTCAGTGGGTTGGGCCTCTGCCTTCGGCTCAGGTCGTGATCTCAGGGTCCTAGGATTGAGCCCCGCATCGGCCTCTCTGCTCAGCAGGGAGACTACTTCCCCCTATCTCTGCCTGCTGCTCTGCCTACTTGTGATCTCTCTCCATAAATAAATAAAATCTTTAAAAAAAAAAATAAAATCTTTGAAAAGAAAAAATGTATGTTGGCTACTCCTTCTCTTACCTAGACTGTAAGAGAAGTCCTTACATATATAAAACATTATCCCACAGTTCTCTCCCTATGCCATGTATTACTAGATTCAAGCCATTAGAATCAAGGATCCAGTAAAGTTGAGAGTTGTTTATTCTGATAATTCCATTTAATGGTTTGAAAATATGTACACAGCTTGCCTATAGTTTACGTATACCTACATCTAACAGTGCCAAATCTCCTCAGGTAGGACTCCAATTAAAACAATATTATCGCCTCATTTGTGGTTACCATTCCTTATTTTCTCTCTTCTCAACCACTTCTGGCTTTCTGTTGGCATACTGAAAAGTTCAGCTCCCTTCTTGAATTGAGAATCTAGAGGAGGAAATAGCACAACAAAGAAGGAGATACGACAGGAAGAAAATGAGAGTGAAATGGGGGGTAAAGTTCAGCCCAAATCTTTGCAAGATTACAGTCTGGAGACCAGACAAGTGAATGGTTATAACTGAAATTAAGCTAACTATGAACATAAACTCTCCAAACTCTTTTTTTTTAAGATTTTATTTATTTATTTGATAGACAGAGATCACAAGTAGGCAGAGAGGCAGGCAGAGAGAGGGGGAAGCAGGCTCCCCACTGAGCAGAAAGCCCGATGCGGGGCTCGATCCCAGGACTCTGGGATCACGACCTGAGCCGAAGGCAGAGGCTTTAACCCACTGAGCCACCCAGGCACCCCAAACTCTCCAAACTCTTATACGTAGGCACAATGCAAGCATAACACTATGCCACATCTTTGTACCTGCTTCATTACACACAAACACAGTTCTATTTGCAAGAATAACACAACTCCTACTAGCAACACTTCTGTCCAGTGAGCACAATATAATCTCCCAGATATAGTCAGCAATTTACTCAGAAGTGTCCAGAAGAAATTCTTAACCAAAATACATCTACAAATAAACTTTAAGAATTAGATCCATTCTTCTGTATTCCATCTGCCTACTTGTTGTGAGAAATTCCTCAGCTGACCTCTGTATAACACCTGGCCCCATTCCCATAAGATATGATTAATGTTACTCCAGCCTCACCCTCAAACTTTTCATCTGTGTGTCAACACAAGTGGGTCTGCCAGCCATGTTTTTTATGAAGACAAGCGACCCATCCGCCCAAATGGATGCCACATTGGGTAAGGGAGCTATTGATAGCTGTGGGCTATGAGGCAGACAGCTCAAAGGCCTCAGGTGAGGAGGGTAAAATATATGGAAGTGGCAGCCCCCAGACTGAGGCAGCCCACCTTCTACCTCACTCACCTTCTCTTCCCCTCCCCCTTCATCCCTACCCATGAGCTGTCTAGCAAAACAAAACAAAACCGAAACCGAAAACCATTTACTGGAATGAACTGGAATTTTCTTAAATTGGAAATGAGATAGAAAAGAACTGCTCAGCTCTATCTACAGGATTCCAAAATGACTTAATCTTTAACATTCTGAAAAGCAAGCTGTCCTTCCTATTTTCAGCTCTAATAAACATATGCTGAGCAACTACAATGTCCCGGGTATTATGTTAGGCATTTTCTCAGAAATGAGGAAACTGCAGCTCAGCAAGATCATGTTTTGAACACGCCAGGGTTAAAAAAAAAAAAAAAAGTTAAAACAGGGGTGCCTGGATGGCTTAGTCGGTTAAACGTCTGCCTTTGGCTCGGGTCACAATCCCAGAGTCCTAGGATCAAGGCCCATATCTGGCTCCTTGCTCATCATGGAATCTGCTTCTCCCTCTGCCTAACACTCCCCCTGCTCGTGTGCTCTCTTTCTTTCTGCCAAATAAATACATAAAACTTTTTTAAAAAATTAAAACACAAAAAAGCAAGTAAATGACACAGCAAGGTTTCATGCCCCAGTCTTTTAATTACAGACCCAATATTCCTTAAACTACTTTACTACACATCTGTACTTGTCATTCAAATGGACAAGACCAATAGTGTCAAAAAAGAATTATGTCAGAATCCAAAAGAATCACAGAAAGCATAATGCTGAAACCAAACTTCACCAACAAATACAACATAATTTGGGAAGGGCAGGTGAGTATTTCTCCAAGATCTTAGAGGGGCACAGACAATGTCTGCATGTCTGTCTTCAAAACGTATTCAGAAATAAAAGTAGCATCAGAAACTTTTCCCAGGACTCACCAGATCATAGAATCCTGGATCATTTTCTTTGTTTGCTCACTTTCCTGGATCTCATCTCAATCCTTTTTCTATCTTCTGCTTTTTGAGAAAAAGGGTCTAGCTTCCAGAACTAGCAATCTTTCACTGAGAGCATGAGGGTCAGGAAGGGGCTAGAACTCCCAGGACACAGGGCACTGGCCTCAGGGGTAGAACACCACGCAGCACCCAAGCCTCCACCTTTCTCTTGAAGCACACTGGTCAGAGGACAAAGAGTAAAGAGAAAGGCACATTGAAAGACACTCTTTCAATCCAGAAAACCTGACCAGTGTCGATAACTTGCCTTGTGCAGCATGATACCACCTAGTGTGGATGAGACAAAGAGAGGGGGAGGTTACCCAGAAGAAATCCCTTGTCCTCCTGTTCTTCTCAGATGCTGAAGGATTTTGGTTGTTCTGATCTTCAGCCTCCCCCACTTTCCTAGAAACCCGGAGTTAGAAATGCACTTACAAATGGTTGGAAGAGAGTCTTCTGTGGTGTCTGGGAATCCTGGCCTTGTTTAAACAAAGGTTCTGGGGCTCCTGGGTGGCTCTGTGGGTTAAAGCCTCTGCCTTCGGCTCAGGTCATGATCCTGGGGTTCTGGGATCAAGCCCCACATCAGGCTCTCTGCTCAGCGGGGAGCCTGCTTCCTCCTCTCTCTCTGCCAGCCTCTCTGCCTACTTGTGATCTCTGTCAAATAAATAAATAAAATCTTTAAAAACAAAAACAAAAAACAAAGGTCCTGACCTTCTTTTAACAATGAGCCTAAGTGTTATCAACTTTTCTTATTTTTACATATCTACAGGAATTCCTAAAGCATGTGCTACATGGGTAGAGACAAGAAAGCTTAACTTCCATCCTGGTACTGCCCAAAAAATTTGCTTTATAGAGGAGCAATGTGTTGCAAGACAGGCTCCCTAACATCTAGGTAAGAATTACAGTAACACTACATGCCCCATCAGATTTTAAATATGATTACAGAGATTACATTTTATTTCCTTTGAGGTGTTGTACAAATTCAAGACATTTTATTTTTATTATAAGGATCATTCTATTTTGCACATTCTTGATTCCTATTCTCCATCTACCACGTTTGAACCTCAAAAGCCCAGAAATAACATATATATTTCAAATTAGATATTCTCCCACTGACTGTTTTCTGTTCCTGAGATAACTAATGAACAACCATTTCCCCAGTCCAGGATAAGGCTTCTCAATCAGGGAAAAGCCAAGGACACACAACTACCTCCCACCCCTAAACACAGAATTGCTTCTGTTCCATCTGCGTGCCCTTTCTCCTACCTTATGGACACACCAGAAGACACCTGCTGGGGGCTTCTCTCAAACACCTCTCTGCTACTGTTGTCAGTCAGAGTGTGTTTCCAAGGATCAGTTCCCGTCACTCTGCTAGACTTTTCTTTCAGGGTGGTGGAGAGACTTCTGGTACTTTAAAAATCTTGGCAGTTTCCCCCATAAATGAGAAGCCCTTTGTTGCTCTGCCACTTCCCCAGCCTATCCTAGTACATTGCCCTCTGGCAGAGAGGAGAGCCACACTGAACAGGACAGAAGGAAGACATTTTGTGAAAGACTGAAGGAACATGTGTGCACACACACACACATGCATACTTTCTCATGGTCTAATAAATGAGTCCCAGACCCAGGCAGGCAGAGAGAAAAATGGGCAGACGATTTCATAATCAGGAAATCAGCTCAACTGCCGTTTGCCTCAAGGCCATGTCATCCAGGGTGTGTCCCTCTAAAGATTCTATACATAGAAGGTAATCCTAGGTAAACAACAACAAAGGCCTGGCAAGATGAAAAAGATGCCTCTGGGAATGTCATTCTGCACCTCGAGGAGCAAACAGCAGAGTCCCTCTTCAGGAGTGGGTCAACATGCTGCAGAGCTAAGCATTCTGGAAATTATGAGACATGGAATCAGCAAAGAGCTGGTGCTATGATAACAGAGTCGGAGGTCTGAGGTCCTGGTCTGGCTTGATAGGTTATTCATCAAGCATCCAGAGTCATAACACCAGAACTTGCCATGCCTTCCCTTCCTCATTTAGGGAGAAGGACGCCTCTTTCTCTCCTGAGGGCAGCGAAGAACCACAGAGAGCAGCAAGAAATGAATCCCACCAGTAAAGGGCAGGGCAACCCGCAAGTCCCCTCAAGCAGCTCTACCACCTTGCCTCTCAAATTCTGAAGACTCCTTCAGACCGGCATCTTCTGACCCATATCACAGAAGCCCCAGAAACTCTCAAGTTTCATTCCTATCCCTACCCTAACTATAATTCCCTGTGGGATAGTGGTAAGAGAAGGAGATTTGGAATCAGACTTCTATTTGAATCTCAGGTCCACCATTCATCATAACTGCATATAAGTCATTCTGACCTTTCTGAGCCTGTTTTTCCACTTGTAATTAGAGACCATAATATCTATCTGTCAAGGCATTTGAAAGCTCTACGGGATACTTTATGTAAAAAACCTAGTATAGTGCCCAACCCATGACAAACAGTCAATACGTCGCAGTCTCTCCTCCCTTCCTCCCCCCTTCACCTATCTCCCAGGCTGGGGAGTAGCTGTACCAATCATTAAGCATCTATAACTCTGAATAAGAAAACAAATCATCTATTATCAAAACATTTATATATGTGGATCTTGGAAGAGATTGTGATGATTATAAATCCCATAATTATGATTTCTATCACCACTGAAAAAAAGGACTGTTTCCCAGGAGATACTAAATTACAGCTAGGTTGAGAACTATTAAGATTGATTATCATTATGTGGATTATGCATAATATGCATATTATGGTTACTCATTTGGCAATAATAATTTCCATCCTTCATTCCCATGCAAAATTAAATTTTAGTTGTAAAAATGATTATATGTTTTAAGAAACAAAAAATAACAGTGTAAGTTATATTGGATTGGTGAGGATTTGAGAAGTCTAAAAGAGAAGACTCCTAGGGCGCCTGAGTGACTCAGTTGGTTGAGCGCCCGAGTTGGGATTTCAGCTCCAGTAGTGACCCCCTCC